ACCACAGCTAGTCTAGTTGGAAATACACTCACTTATACATTGGTTTATACACCCATTTTGATTAATAATTAGAATAAAATCACATATATGATAAATACTTAGTTATAACAAATCATGTACTGAGTTTAGTTCATCTTAACTAAATACAAGGATATATCGTATGTTATATAGAATAAAATGTCATACGGGAAAGCAAAACAAATACTATACTGAGTAATCATCATATTGAATTAAAACAGAATTAATGTTGAACAAAAATCTAGTTGTATTAGGTCTAGGTTGGAAGAAACACAGGGGAACCAAACCAACATATTACATCAGTTCATGAAGTCATTGATTATTCGTCTGAGTCATGTTGGTAGATGCAAACTACCTAGTAGGTGTCAGCTTGGTTAATTTAATTAATGGTTGTAGACGAGGGATGACATAACTCAAAATCAACTATATCAATGCAGATGTATTGACTCATTTTCTTCCGTCAACTGTCGAGTTATAAAACTATATAATTTTTACTGCTGAAATTCATCCATTCTTCTCAAATTACATTGTCTGTAGTTAGCGTTTTCTACTACCATTGGTGCTATTTCCATTCCTTCGACTACATTCATATCAATCTTGATAATTTCAGCAGACTAGGATTATTTATGCTGTATGGTAAATTAAACCAATGTTCAATATGTATTCCAGGTTCTAACTGATTAGATTTCATCTTTTTTTTTACAATATTTTGTCTTGATTTTTCTATAACCACATCGTATACATAAATATTGTTTTCTAATCGATACCATCTAAAAGAACGTAATTCCTTTACATACAGCTAAGAATTTTCTTAAGTCATGGATAACATCCAAAACATGCTAGAAATCTGTGTTGAGTGAAATACAGCTAATGCAATCTATTTCCGATCATAAGAAAGCAGAAATTTGCTATTTTTTATTCCGTTAAGTCATTTTAGAGGGGATATTGTGATTGAGATGGAGAAGATTTGTAGCTCAGGTGGATTATTTAGGTGGAGTTTTTTCTCTGAGCTCGATGGTTTGGTCGTGGATCTTTCATTGTTCAACAACAACACTTCATGTCTACCCTAAGTTTGTACTGGTGATGTTGTTTGAAAGAACAATAAAGCTCCACGATCACACCATCCAGCTTAGAGTATATTGTTATTTTCAATCTTCTCATTTCATTCTTTTACTTGTAATAACTTATTCCAACATATATTGTCGATGTTCTCGTTTATTTCTCTCCGTATGTTGTGGAAATTAAGATAATAAAAAAATACTAAAGTATTATTATTATTATTATTATTAATCGAATATCATTCAGTTAATAACTGCTATATAGTTCATATATGCTAAAAAAGGGAAGTGTTGAAAAAATATTTTAAATGGATAATTACTGTCTATGGATTGATTGACCAGCAAACAGTGGCAATTTTACTATTAATTCACCAGTTTTTATTTTCCCGAATGGTATCTTGAATCCTTAATATTTCATATTACTGTTACAATCTTTACTACTCTGGGATTAGCACTAATAATCTCAACTAGCTGTGCTAATGTGGTATTGCAGCTTGAACATGTACCACTTTTTACATTGCGTCTGACTGACTAAATGACCAAAGTAGAGTTTTTTTTACCCAGTTGTGGCGATTTAATTCTTTCGATTGAGTTCTAATGTACCACTGGTCTAGATGACTTACAATATGTACATTAAACAAGCATGATACGGTTTACTATCTCAGTCGTACGGGTGGTCAGTCGCGGCTCGAATAGCTCAGTAGTAATATCTCTGACTGGTCCGGTTGCGAATCTAGAACTTGTTCCCTCAAGAATGCAGCCATGCCTTAATGATGAGTTCCAACTAGCAAGAAAAGAAAGTCTAGAGTTTTCTACCGATCACCTCCAACCGCTTAGTCGAACATTAGTGATTAATGGCTACAATATTGCGCTCACCACCATTTTGAACACTTTTATTTTCGTGTTAATTAAACATTTACATTATACTCAGTATTCTCATTTATTTGATTATCGTGCTTGGATGGAGATGGCTTAGACTTGTTATAACTAAATATTTACTTTGAAAAGGTGTTCTGCATCTGCCGACAAAAGCTTCACATTAACATTTTTGAATTATATCTAGTGTTATACTTGATCCTATCGAGTATTATGTACTAATCGCGTTGTAGCTTATCATCATAATTTTTTAAACATATGTACAAGGGACAAGAATATGTGTTCTCTTTAAAAAATTGACCGATGAATTACTTTTTTTCATCGTAGTAATTTGGAAGTAGATGCTTTTATGTGGTTGTTTTGCTCATTAAGTTTGACATATGTTTGGGTACCACTGACAACAAAGAATGACCGGATACTCATTTCGTTATAATGTGAGACTTCAGAGAAATGTATATTCACTATACCCACATGGATCAGACCTAGGACCTACGAGTTTTAAGGCGATCTTGTTACGTTTCAACGACTAAGTTTGGATCCATAATTTACAAACCATACAGTTCTCGCGAACTGCAAACACGAGAGAATCAAGCTGGCTTCAGACCTGGTCGTGGCTGTATCGATCACATATTCACCATTCGTCAGGTTCTAGAACATAGACATACTTATCGGCGTCCGACAATGGTGGTCTTTCTTGACTTAAAAGCAGCATTTGAGTCGGTAGATCGCGAGATTCTGTGGCAGTGTCTGTCATCGAGAGGCGTACCCCAGAAGTACATAAACCTTGTAAAGGCTCTTTACTCGAACACTACTAGTCGAGTGAGAGCTTATGGAGAACTATCATCTGCTTTTACAACCTCAAGTGGTGTCCGTCAAGGCTGTCCACTTTCTCCATTTTTGTTTAACTTCATCATAGACCTAATGATGGAAATAACATTCTCGTCTACCGAATTCTCGGGTATTGATCTCCTTCCAGGAGGTCTACTTATCAACTTGGAATACGCAGATGATATAGTCCTGTTTGGTGAAGACGCTGATAAAATGCAGAGTCTTTTGGTAGCACTAAACAACAATGCCAGAATGTTTGGAATGCGCTTCTCTCCCTCTAAATGCAAGCTGCTGCTTCAGGACTGGTCTGGGTCAACACCTGAACTAAGGATAGAGAGTGAGGTAGTCGCACGCGTTGAAAACTTCACTTATCTTGGACATCTGATCAGCCCCAATGGGTTGGTGTCTGACGAAAGCTCAGCCCGGATTCGAAAAGCTCGTTTGGCTTTTGCCAACTTACGTCACCTATGGCGAAGGCGAGATATCTGTCTATCAATAAAAGGATGAGTATACTGCGCGGCAGTAAGCTCTGATTTAATTTACGGCAGCGAAACATGGCCATTAAGAGTAGAAGACACTTGTAAGCTACTAGTATTTGACCACAGATACCTTAGAAATATTGCTCGCATCTGCTGGGATCACCGGGTAAGTAATGGTGAGGTTAGACGCAGGGTATTAGTGAATGATGATAAATCAGTTGATGAGCTTGTGAATCTTCATCGACTGAGATGGTTGGGCCACGTGTTACGTATGCCTGAACACCGATTACCACGACGTGCAATGCTAACCGATGTTCGGGATGGTTGGAAGAAAGTTAGGGGCGGCCAAACCAAAACGTAGCATCAGTGCTTGAAGTCACTAACTTCTAGTCTGAGCCATGTTGGTAGATGCAGACTACTTGGTTGGGGTCCGCGTGACTATCGTAACCAATGGTTAGAGACTCTTGGTGACATGGTTCAGAATCGATCACAATGGCGTCGGTGTATACACTCTTTGTCTTCCCTTAAACTAAGAAATTAAAATCGCTTCATATCTTTCTTCCTACGAACTAATTCTTTCTTCCCGTACTATATCCTTATTGCAATCTTTCTTTTATATATTACCACCTCTGAATTAACTACTTTTATGAATCCGGTGTCCATCTTGTCGTGTTAATAAGGTATGGCAACTTGGACCGATGCATATATGTGCCTGGTCCTACGTTGTAGCTGACTTACTGATTTATGCTTGACATTTATATATCTTATTTGGTTTATATTTTTGTTTGTTATACTCACTTATTTATCCAAGTCTATTACATGATGATGTGAATGCTAAATGTTAAAGCGCCAAACACCCTCTTTTCGTCCTCTCAGTTTTGTAAGCAACACCGCCACGAGAAGGCAGTTAATAGGTCTTCCCTGGCAGTGGCTGTATACGCAAGTCCATGTGACAGCATTTCGAGAGGGAGAGTTAACTTTCCCCACCCTAAGCTGTACGAGGGTATTTGGGGGCAATAGCAAAATGACAAAGGAGGTCTTTTCGGCGCGCTGGTTAAGCAGTCCACCCATTGAAGCATGCGAAATTTACCGTAACGACGTAACCACCTCCATTGCTCGACAAATAGTACTATTTGACAGGTGTACCTGTAATCTTGAGAGAACTGGTCCCTCCTAACGAACTGGATGAGGCGTCATTCAGCATTAAAATCACAAACGTTACCACTGAGCAATTCTGGCTTCGACCAACTTTCTGTAGGACTAAGGTAGATTTACAATCAATTTATCACTAAGCAGTGACCGTCAACATGTATATCAATTCCTTAGTGTTGATCTGATTCTAACGATGAAGTCTAGAGTTCCTGTCAACTACCTTCAATCAACACCATATAATCAGCCTAGTGCACGTTACATCGGTCACCACTCAATGATCAGTCAGTTATAAAGAATGTTGTGTACTTTCACTCATTTTCAATCGCAAACAGTGAAACAATAATTATAAAAATCAGAAACCTTGAAGAAATCTGAGTGTCCCAATGATTGTTGCAAATACAAGCCATACTTAAACCAAACAGAAACTACTTACAGGAGACATAACGTTGTTTTCTTTCCACATTTGCAATTGATTTAATATCTCTATTTCATGATTTTCACCAGTTGTCTGTACATTAGTTACTATTTGTCTCATTATTGTTACCACTAAACCCCTTCTGATAAGTATGTTTAACAATTTCTTTTACAGTGTGCAAAAAAGCTGAACTTGGAACAGAATAAATCTATCAAGTTGGAAAGTAATGAGCTACATGGATATTTTATGCGTGTCACACTCAAGGTAAATCAGTGCATACATATGCGAAGTAGAGTTTGTGCAGTTCGCCTTCCCCCCACACACACATTTTCATAGTGTTTTATTTCCTATGTGAATAGTTAGTTTTCAATTATCATGTCTAAACGTTTTGTACCGTCACTCCTCTCGTTTAAATTTAGACAATTGAATTTTATATCTCGAAACTAGTGCATAGATTTGTGGTTATTCATTGATTATATGTAGTAAATTTTGTATACACTCTCCTATTTTTGATGGACTTTCAACAAGTGTTTAAATTCATTTCATTATAATCGTTAAGCTTTTCGTTTAAATAAGTTTTTTTAATATTGAAAGTAATATAAAATGATTTTATCCTTTTTGCCTAATGATGACTGCAACTCTTACTATGGCATAACACAGTTGAATTATGACAGTATTCATCAAATTGTTGAAATGCTTTGTCTTTCGATTTAATTTTCTCCATTATTGAAATACCCTTATTTCAATAGTGAAATGAATTATAAGTGTAATCTGCCCTCTTCACCATCCCTAACTTATTTAAAATGCGTAAATACTGGTACAATTAGACACTGAAATACATATACGCCACAAAAAAGGGAGGGAGGAGAGTGGGTAAATCAATCGTATGATAATGGGCGGTATAGTTCAAGAACATTTTATTCTGTTTAAGGGAGCTCTAACTAATAATGTAACAAAAAATTACATCAGGATTGGTGCAAATATGATGATCTTTTCTGAACCATGTCTAATAACATTTGAAGCCACTGAGTTGTGTGCACTTTCCCTAGGATGTCAACCAGGAAGTGAGGATTGACCAATATTTGCCTGTCTTATACAGCTATATTTCATACCAAAGCTTGTTAAAATCTGTCTTTTCTACCTTATTTTAGCGTCAGGAATTATTATTTAATATGAAGGTGAAAAGGATGACACTCATAAGACATCTCAAGTCACCTTAACTGTGATCAATCTATGACAAACGGAAAAGGATCTTCACTAAATCTCTTCAGCTGAAAAACAGATTAGTGAAATTCACGATAGGTTTATTGTGTATTCTACATCTATGTGTCGTTTATGATATAAGATTCTGTTGTCGGTACTCTGATTTGAATAACTCATATATAATACATTTTGTCATCCACTCAACTCCAATTCCCACAATCCGTAAAGAAATATCCTGATATTTACCCTGAAAGAACTATGTGTCTTTTTAAAATTAAAGATTATGTATTGATTCGTGCAGAATGTCATGTCGCATTAATGTTTATCCATTTTCATTTTTGTTCACTTCTTTGTATTTTCTGTTTTCTTTTTCTTTCTTCAACTGTAACAACAAATAATCATGACAATAAAAGGATGAGAAATGTTTAAGAGGATTTGAAACATTTGAAATTTTGGACACACAAAAAGGTGGTGTACGTTTTCGTAATAACCAAATGACTTCATTAACTGAAACTTATGCTGAAGTGAAACAAGAATATAATAGATTACAAGAAGTAGTTGTACATCAAGTTGTTTGTGCCGCAGGTAACTACTTTTTTTACAACTACTTGTCATGTGTCTTAAGACTTTCTTAAATATCACCTGCTAAATTCGCTATTGGAAACTCCGAATATTTTTCTCTCTATTTAGTCCCTAATATTTCATATATAGCTTAAATTCATAGACTTGGACAGTTACATTTCTGATCCGCACAGTTAGCCTTAAACACATTTAAGGTAAACCCCTAATGGTTCGCTGTTCGTAAGGTTGTCTCTATTTTTTGCCTTGAATCCAAAACGAAGTCAAAAGTTAGCCTCTCTCACATCATATTTAAAGCACTCCTGGGTTTATTTACAAACATACCTGACCACATCACATCAGCCAAAATGTTTGTGAGTAGGGAAAGCCGCACACGATTTATTTGGAATAACTGAAGATTAATAATTAGTATGGTAATAGTTAATGGGCAAATAGGAGCTAAAGATAAACTCAGTATATGAATATAGTAATCCAGCTATTCTTTAATTATACAATAAGAATATTAGTAATAATTAAGAAATTCGTTCTGGAACTAAACATTTCTTCAATCTTTGTTCTAATACATCGCTACTGGTAAGATATATATATATATATATATATATATATATATATATATATATATATATATATATATATATATTTATATATTTATTTATATATTCGTTGATTTCAATATCACACCACTCCATTCTGCACTTAACATAATTACACACAGTATTATCATCACGGATTAAAACTTGCAGACTGGACAAAATTTTCGTTACCTTTCTAACTTTTATACTTCTTTCCAGCATTACATCATTTTTTAGATTATTCTCATACCCAATGTTATCTCGAATAAATAAATAATTTGAGGCCGTTAACTCTGTCAATATATCAGTTTATAGTAATAATAACTATTATTTCCTACACTTTGATTCTACGTTAAGTCATAATAATTCATGAAGTAATTTATTGAATTATTTTTGTTGCTTCATAGCTATTCAGTTTGATTTTATTCTTTCGAAAGTTTTGTCATATATTGATTAGATAATAGTTTTTAGAGGTGTTTTGATGTCCGAGCTGGTTGATCTAATCGGTAAGTTTGTATTTTTTTTTCTACACAATGTCATCGATACATGCCGTAAAAGCAAATAAGCTGTCCCGATTTACAGCTACGAGTTCTGTCAGTCAGTCGAACTCAACGTAAAATGTGGCATATATTTACATCGATTCTACTTCCCACTCTTCACCAACAGAACGAGATGAAATTCTCAGGGTATATCACAGAGTAGCAGAAGTAGTAAAAGTATTAATGGTAATATCAAAGATTAAACACGCAGTTACAATTTGGGAAAAAATTATAAACTATTGAAATATATAAAGAGAAATTTGTAAAGAGTAAATACGCTGCGCCATTGTGAACTATTTCTAGGTATGCTATTCAAACTCTCTAAACATTGGTTAGTATAATCAAGTGGATTCCAACCAGATAGTGTGTATGTGCCTGAATAGCTCAGTCGAGCAGTAAATGTCTTCACGGACTGACATCACGTCTTGATTTGGCCATATCAGCTTTCTTCCAACCTACTTCTACACCAACCATTATCCGACGTCAAGGCAGTCAGTCAGTCAAGGGAAAAAATTAAATGAAACCTGTAAATAGAGATCACACAATAATGTGCAGCAACCAATTCAATTCCAGGTAGACAGATTAAGTTGTTTGTCAGTTGTTGAGAAATTCTAATATCTGACTTCTGAATTATGTTGTTCTCTAGAAAGATCATGAGAACTTTGTCACTAAACTACCGAATTTTGAAAACAAAACCGTTTTAAAATGAGCAGAACGACATGAAAATAACAGTTGGTCGAGACAAATTATCAAAATGTTTATTTCTCTTGAAACATGTTTGTACGAAAAACACCGTCTTGTACTTTCGGCATTAAAATTCAACCGGGAAACCAAATAACTACGTTCACAGCAGAAAACAAAGCTCTGGACTTGAATACTTGAGACTGTTAAGTTCTGAACCATTTCTTATTTACTTTGAGAGTTTACAATTAAATAGTTCTTTTCTATTTACATAATGTGTATTGGGTTGAGCTAGACTTTTTTTAACCTAATAACTGATTATTATTGAGTTGTATCATATTGAGCAAATATTCTAAAAGTTTTATTCTTTTGCGAATTTGTGTTGATTACAATTTTGTTTGAAAAGACAATAAAAATACTATGATTAGATCATCCCTGTTCAATGAACACTACATCTCCAAAATTCTCATCCCAAATTACATAAATTCTTTATCATTGTAATAATTTCATTATTATATTCAAATTATCAGCTTCGCCGTACATATTTCATCTAATGTATGTGTTATTTTCTTTTTTATTAAATGTATATAGCTACTTATTTAGAGCCTATTAATCAATTGAATGCAACCACCGCGTTCTTAGATGTTATTGTTAGCCTTTCTATCGCTGCTATCTCGTCTTCAGGCGTATCGTATATTCGTCCGAAAATTCTCTCTAAAGATAATGGTCGTATTATTTTAAAAGGAGCACGTCATCCATGTTTGGAAATGCAAGATCGAGTCAGTGTTATTCCAAATGATGTACATCTTGAACGTGGTAAATTGCGTTTCCAATAAGCTTTTGTTTCTACATATTCTGAATTTTTTTATTACAGATCAACCATTCTAATAATTAGCCGAACGTTCTTACATTTAAATTCTATTTTTTCCCTTATATATAGTATATGTACATATATTGACCAAATGTGATTTGTTTTCGACCTTTCTTTCAATTCTAGCAAATATTTTCCACCTCATAACGCACACAATTGTTGTTTTCTCCAATTTATTCATTGAAATTGTATAGGTAAACAAATATTCCTAATTATTACTGGTCCGAATATGGGTGGCAAGTCAACTTTTATACATAGTGTAAGTTATAAAAAGAAAAGACCAAATAACAATTTCGTATTTTCCATTCTATGATAGAATAAAGCTTGTGTGTATGTGTCCACGAGAGAGAGACTGACGAGAACATATGACATGCTCATCATTATCATTATCAAAACTTAGGGGAGCTCATAGTATATGCATATATATGTTTATAGATAATTTGATAGTCCATCCGGTACAGTGAAGATTGGACTCGTCATGTCGTTTGATATTAACTTAATTTTTCTTGTTATGTTTACTTATGTCTGTTGGAGTGTATCATGTCATTTTGCTTTTTTAAACCCTACAGTATTTTTAACTGGGAGTTTAATGGTAATTATATTATGGTTCACTATGTAAACTTCTCTCGAACACTAATCGTCACAGCTTATAAGAAAGGACAGAAGTCCTCTTGTGACTGTCACAAAGGAATTATTTGACTAATATACCATCTAAAATATTAGCTTCATTAATAATCCGTGAAAAGCACAACTCGACTGGTTTTAGACCTGTATGTTGTTGTATAAACCAAATATTTGCTCTTTGTCAGATTCTAGATCATAGATATAACTACCGACATCTGGCTATGGTTGTGTTCCTTGACCAGAATGCAGCGTTACGCTCTGTTGGTTGGCAAGTCGGTTGATGAGGTAGTGAGTCTTTATCGACTAAAGTGGTTATGACTTTCAATCTGTGAAGTCATTGACAATTGGACAGCCATTTTAATAAGTGTAGACTGTCTATGTTATGGCCTGTGCAACCAATTGTTTGAGACTTTGGATGATATTGTTCAAAATCGATCGCAATTATACAGATGAATTCTCTCTTTGTTTTTCTTTAGAACCGGTGCCCTTGTTATAACTTGTGCCCTGTGTCCTAATAATGTATAATGTAATGATACCGCCAATAATTTATCGACGGACCAGTTAGACATAAAAGCCGTACGAGTAGTCTAAAGTCCTTATTGGTCCTGATTCCTGCTTAGCCCTGCCTGTTAAGTTCAGAACACCAATTTAAGCTTCCGCGATATGAATCGTGTATTTCAAACATACTCGGTTTATATACAAACGAAACAGACAATATCGTACCATAAAGTAGGAAACAATATTTGTACAAGATTTAGCTGTGAATGTGGAATAGACTGGGTATAACTCAAGAATAGTAAATCGTATAATAATAGTTTCATCATATATGCACAGCCAGAGTCCCCTACTAGTGTGAGACGGATATTCAGTGTCTTTTAGTTTTCAATGATTGTTTGATTGTGATCAATCTGCAATGTAAAGTAATACAAACAAAACAATAATAATGGTGATTCTCAATAACCTACCTACTTGCTCTTCGCTGAATGTGAATTAATTTTCAGGTTGCCGTTATTGTTGCTATGGCCCAAATTGGCAGCTTTGTTCCGTGTTCATACGCAGAAATTATGCCAGTCGATGCTATTATGGCGCGTGTTGGTGCGGCTGATTATCAATGTCGTGGTGTTTCTACATTTCTAGCAGAAATGCTTGAAACTTCAGCTGTCTTACGAGTTAGTATATTTATTTTTACATATACTATGTATGCACATGTCAACGCTTTAAAAATACAATTCATCGATATCCAACCTCTCAGTAGTTCAGTTCAAGAATTATAGGTGATAGAGTGATAATGTTCAAATCAGGTGGATCCTTCTAGTGTTGTTGAGTTCTTCAAACTAAATAATTTAATTGTGGATTTTCAATTATTTTCCTCGATAACATTATCAGTTAGTTGTTGCAAAAGCGTTAAATCAATTCGCTCTAGCGCCTTTGTTTTTGAGTGTTTATGTTCGCTAACTCTATTTGTTGTTATCTTCGATTTTTAACTGATGGAATATTTTATATCTCATATAACACCTCTGACCAAAATCACGTAACAAATCACAAATTAGAATTCTGATTCTAATTTGATCCGTTTTGCGTCAACTACTTACTCGATAACTTGTCTCTGGCTTGGTCAATTACACATCCGATCAACACTATTAACCTTGTATCAATAGCTAAGTTCCTATTAGTTAACTATTCACTAGCTCCTCTATATGTTTTTCCCTTCAGTTCAAGTCATCGACGAGCCTCCACCATATGTTTAGAACAGATGTAGATTATATATAGACATACCACGCTATAAAATAAGTGACAATTATATATGAATAAGCCAATTGTAGCTATGATTAGGGAAGACTATGAGTAATAGATAATAGAAATATTAACAATAAATCATGGGTTAATCGAAATTTTATAATAAATGGAATATATAGACATAGTAACCTAGTTACGTAATACTTATGTAAATAAGACTATTCACTCGCTGAATTGAATATAGTCACCCTAAATTTCGTTTTACTGGGTTTTTTATACTTTAAACCTAATCATCCAAGTACCTAGATCAGTTATATGCTTTGATCAACCGTGTTTTTTTAACCCAGCATACTGATATTGTGTTGTTACCTAGCTGTGTTTTAACATTCTTTAACTCTATTGTTCCAGATGACGCGGGATGCCCGATCAAATTTAGTGATCCATCTATATTACATGCATGAATCTATGGTTTTTTATTTCACAATTAAAATTATGTTATTATGCAAATATTCAGTGTTCACCTGTATGTGACAAATCCTGTCAGAAAATATCGTCATTATTACTCATGACTTTTCGAAAATCGTAATTCTCAGCTGCATAGTATATCAAAGCTTGTCAAGTGATTAGAGAGACGATTTGTGAGGACATCTAGACCTTGATTTTGTTCTTATTGATACTTGTCAAGAAATTATGCTTGCAATCTTAAGAGGATTGTTGCTGTTTTTTGAGTTCAAACTTGTGCTACTCATTTGCATAATCAACATCTTATTTAGCACAAAACTTGCACTCAAGACTTCCTACTAATTGCTTCAAACTTCCTAGCGGCCAATAACACTACATAGTGTACGTAATATTAACAACCTTAGGCTGGTGTCCACGTACTTTTGGAATGACTAGTACTGTGTACTAAACAAGAGCGACATCAGTTAATACTTAGCGATCAACCAGCGTAAATTGAAGCTTATGTGCTTATCCATTCAAAAAAATGTTACGCATAGTTAACTCAATTAATGATAAAAAGTATTTTAGTTATGTAAACACAAAAATTCTGCAGTCGAATGTTTAAGCTTTAAAGAATTTCTGTCTTTAAAACGACTTTTTTGACGTATGTATCAAACGGAATTAAACATGTGTTTATCATTACGTAGTTTACATCATGAAATTACCTTGGTTACATTATCATTGAAAATCAGGAAGCAGAATCGGATAGATGTTTCGTCTTACCAAAGAAACTCTCATCAGTACTCATTCACAATCCCACTATGGATCGCAGGCATGACTTTTATATCTCGTGACGAACGCTTAGCTTTTAGACTTAGAAGGTTACGGACGTACACCCATGAGGAACCTCAGATGATTGAAACATTTGTCCAATGCCGTCTAGTTTTCAATAGTTGTCTAGATGAAGTTAGTCTGTGATGTGAATTACAAAATTTATCTGTCTCTTCACACTCCCTTACACAAATAATGAATCATCATCAAACGATTAAGATAAAACCATAAACTTATGTCAAATGTTTTTTTTATTTGCTTCATCTTAATTGTCTCCTCTCATCATCTCTCATTTTTTCTACACGTTCATGCGTATGTGAATGTGTGTATACAGGACTCTCCAGCTGTATCAATCGCCAATGGTTTATGTCCACGTCTTATCGCAATGCTGGATCACGTCATAAAAGAAGCTGAACTAGAAAAGAATTTATCAATTAATATGATTAGTTCGACAGTTGCTCATTTGACGCGTGAACTTTTACTAGCGAAACCAAATAATTTACCAAGTGATTACTTATTAAATTTGGTCAAAAATAAACTAGAAAACAATAAGAAAATATAGATAGGTTTTTTACGATTGAACAGTCATTTTATTGGTATAATCATGACTATAGTACTTTGTAAAAGTTTTCCTTGAAAAACGTTTCTCCACATTTCTTTTTATATCAGTTTTAAATTAATAAGATCTGCTTACATATTCCTTTCAAATTTTTTCTGTGTATCTTGAATATTGATACAGTAAATGTATATTAAGCCTTAAAATCAGAAATAATATAGTGAATCAAGTGGATTTAAAACCTAAACAAATCGATGCCAACTCAATAGTCTTAAGCTTCAGCTCTCGCTTTGACACTTGAAGTCCCTGGTTTCAATACCTGGCAAGGCTGTGAATCTACATGACTAAGTATTCAGGTACTTCGACGAAATAGTTGCCTAGATCTTCTTGGTTTATATAGGTTGTCTAGCTTCAACTAGTTCGCGATTCGGCAACAAAATTATCCTCAAAGTTCTGATAGGAATTTATGACTTGTTGTGTCGAATGAACAGTTGCGTGATGATTGCAGTGGTTTCAAGAAAGTAGCATAAATGATAACAATCCGGTCTCATGTAGTTAGTTATTTACTCAGTCAGCTACAACGTAGGACCAGGCACATATATGCATCGGTCCAAGTTGCCATACCTTATTAACACGACAAGATGGACACCGGATTCATAAAAGTAGTTAATTCAGAGGTGGTAATATATAAAAGAAAGATTGCAATAAGGATATAGTACGGGAAGAAAGAATTAGTTCGTAGGAAGAAAGATATGAAGCGATTTTAATTTCTTAGTTTAAGGGAAGACAAAGAGTGTATACACCGACGCCATTGTGATCGATTCTGAACCATGTCACCAAGAGTCTCTAACCATTGGTTACGATAGTCACGCGGACCCCAACCAAGTAGTCTGCATCTACCAACATGGCTCAGACTAGAAGTTAGTGACTTCAAGCACTGATGCTACGTTTTGGTTTGGCCGCCCCTAACTTTCTTCCAACCATCCCGAACATCGGTTAGCATTGCACGTCGTGGTAATCGGTGTTCAGGCATACGTAACACGTGGCCCAACCATCTCAGTCGATGAAGATTCACAAGCTCATCAACTGATTTATCATCATTCACTAATACCCTGCATCTAACCTCACCATTACTTACCCGGTGATCCCAGCAGATGCGAGCAATATTTCTAAGGTATCTGTGGTCAAATACTAGTAGCTTACAAGTGTCTTCTACTCTTAATGGCCATGTTTCGCTGCCGTAAATTAAATCAGAGCTTACTGCCGCGCAGTATACTCATCCTTTTATTGATAGACAGATATCTCGCCTTCGCCATAGGTGACGTAAGTTGGCAAAAGCCAAACGAGCTTTTCGAATCCGGGCTGAGCTTTCGTCAGACACCAACCCATTGGGGCTGATCAGATGTCCAAGATAAGTGAAGTTTTCAACGCGTGCGACTACCTCACTCTCTATCCTTAGTTCAGGTGTTGACCCAGACCAGTCCTGAAGCAGCAGCTTGCATTTAGAGGGAGAGAAGCGCATTCCAAACATTCTGGCATTGTTGTTTAGTGCTACCAAAAGACTCTGCATTTTATCAGCGTCTTCACCAAACAGGACTATATCATCTGCGTATTCCAAGTTGATAAGTAGACCTCCTGGAAGGAGATCAATACCCGAGAATTCGGTAGACGAGAATGTTATTTCCATCATTAGGTCTATGATGAAGTTAAACAAAAATGGAGAAAGTGGACAGCCTTGACGGACACCACTTGAGGTTGTAAAAGCAGATGATAGTTCTCCATAAGCTCTCACTCGACTAGTAGTGTTCGAGTAAAGAGCCTTTACAAGGTTTATGTACTTCTGGGGTACGCCTCTCGATGACAGACACTGCCACAGAATCTCGCGATCTACCGACTCAAATGCTGCTTTTAAGTCAAGAAAGACCACCATTGTCGGACGCCGATAAGTATGTCTATGTTCTAGAACCTGACGAATGGTGAATATGTGATCGATACAGCCACGACCAGGTCTGAAGCCAGCTTGATTCTCTCGTGTTTGCAGTTCGCGAGAACTGTATGGTTTGTAAATTATGGATCCAAACTTAGTCGTTGAAACGTAACAAGATCGCCTTAAAACTCGTAGGTCCTAGGTCTGATCCATGTGGGTATAGTGAATATACATTTCTCTGAAGTCTCACATTATAACGAAATGAGTATCCGGTCATTCTTTGTTGTCAGTGGTACCCAAACATATGTCAAACTTAATGAGCAAAACAGCCACAAAAAAGCATCTACTTCCAAATTACTACGATGAAAAAAAGTAATTCATCGGTCGCTTTTTTAAAGAGAACACATATTCTTGTCCCTTGTACATATGTTTAAAAAATTATGATGATAAGCTACAACGCGATTAGTACATCTTCAAAATTCAAATTATTCAGTTGTCTCCAATGTTCTCACTGTATTCCGTGCTTTTCCTGAGATGGTGGGTCTTCATAGTCCGATCAGCAACCAGAAGGAAGATAAAGTGAATGTAGGGAACCCTGTATAACACCGGTCCTCACTCGAAGTATCAGTAATCTGTCGTCCATCCATGACTCGTAAGATTTTTGTATAAGTGTGACGATCTTTTCAGGTACATCATAATGTCGAAGGACATTCCACAAGGTTTTCCTATTCACTGTCAAATGCTCTCTCATAATCAAGGGAGTTGATGTGCGGTTATGAGTCCTATTCGACTGGTTGTTTAACATTGATGTGCAGTATCGCGATTGGGTCGGTATATGATTAGTCGTAATGGAATCCAGCTTGTTGATCTTAAAGCCGTACCCACGGAATCTTTTTTTGGTTCAGCATTAATGTTATGTCCCGACAAGCATAATGAATGGTAACTTTTGGGATCCATTTATGGTCCAATACTATGCGTGTATTTTTGCCGTATAATTGTTAAATAACTAAACTATACATATTCGTGTCCCTCTTATTATGAGCTTTATTTTAAACTGTGAACTATTGTTATACGATTTACCATTCTTGAATTATGCCCTGTCTATTAATTACTCCCTCATTCACAGCCACATTTGGCTAATTCTTGTACAAATGTTGTTTCATATTTTATGATATATTGTGGTCTGTCTGGTTGGTATATAAATCCAGTATGCTTGAAATAAATTATTCGCATCGCAGAGGCTGGGGCTTGTGTTCTGGATTTAACTGGCTGGCTAGGCAAAAAGCAGAACCAATAAGGACTAGACTGCCCGTACTCTGAAGAGAGCGTGGAATATCTTTGCAGTTACCTCGATATCTTACTTCAAATCTTCAGCTGATATGCTTCCTGGTCTTGGTATTATGTTCCTGATTTGTCTGAGTCTAACTAATTACTTTCTTTGTCGATAGGGTATCATTTATAGGGAAGTCTATGTGTGCTGCTTTGATATTCATCAGGTTCAATAGATCTGATTTAGTAAAGAGCTCTCCCAACCGCTTATTATCTTGGTAGGTTGCATTACTTATATGCCAATATTAATGTTTTCGTTGAATATTTTGAAAATAGCTTCGCTTTTTGAATGTATAATTTGTAACGATCTGTCAGTTGTTTGGCAGTTTTGTTTTTCATGTATAACGAAAGATTTAGAGTTTCAGAATTCGTTGAGCAATTGATGAATCCGACCACTTCAATCGTATTAGTAACTTATCTAAGCATCATAATACCAATTTTGCATCAAATCTCAAAATTTTCTTTCACACTGAAATACTGTTAATGTTTAGTTTAGTTTAGTTTGTATTACATATTCTTTACCCCAAATGAATCAATATCTAATGCATACGCAGCTCTATTGACAAAATATCTCACTAAAATCGGAGAACCATAAGGTAAATTTGCAAAATATCAGTCAATTGTCTCAAACTTGACTGTTCCTTTCGCAAATATCAATCCATCGTTTCAGATTTAATTGTTCGTGCATTTTCATGCCAATTGCTTTCCGTTCCCGTTCTTTCCTTGTCGATCGTCTACTGAAATGCATTCTATTTCTGACAATCGTTATATACTACTTATGTGGATATAAGTAGCTCACGTCATATATATGTATTCTATTTTAGTTTCAGTCTATATTATTTTAAATTATTTCCATACATTAAGTTATTGATTAATTAGGTAGGTGTGTAGTTTGTGGATGAAGTTGAACGATATTTATAAAGACCGCATGTTGTTGTTTACTTATTTTCGTCAATGAACATAGAATCTGCCCAAATCAAAATTATTTCACAGCAGAAATAATAAATCTGGGTCAAAGTTTGTTAGACATTAGCTTTTCAAATCTGATCATAAGTTTTTCATCCTCAATGTTGTAGGAAAATGTATACATAACCTTATTTATCTGGGTGCAAGTATATTCATTCTGAGGGTTTCCTTCTAAATACTTCCCACAAATATAAATAGTTATGAGACAACTGTGCGTAGAAATTATTATTATCGTCAACCAAAGCACCCCTACTTCACTTGTCTACTCATTTTTATCTGAACCGCTAGTTAAATGAATTCTCTTTGAATTAAGCCAACTGAAATGAAATTCCAAGGATTTACGTTTTATGTAAAATCAGAACAACACATAGGCGAACAATTGTTTTCAATCAGGTCGTCATCAGGCTTTACTCTAATATACATCAATATTTATACAGGTGTACTGATGGTAGTAAGAATAATAAAATACGATAACAAAAGTCTTATCAATAGTTAAACGTTGGAAATAGAAGGTCAAACGTGGGTAAATATATTTGGAATAGTTAACACAAAACATTAAAATCACTACGTAATAAGAAGTGTGTAAATAATTAGATAGTGAAGAATACAAAAGGTAAGAGGCGGAAAATTACAAACAAATACTAAATGTTTTCACAGATTGAAATCATGAGTCAGTTGAAGCTAGACCACCATTGAAAACCTGGAAGCGCTGGATGGCCGTTTCGTCCTAGTATGGGACTCCTCAGCAGTGCGCATCCACGATCCCGCACCACGCGGGCATCGA